CCTACCCCCTCCTCCCACACCAACTATCTCAAAGTTTGTCACGGAATTGCTACTGTGACTACTGCTTCAAGGCTAGGACGTGCGCCAGAACCTGGATGTCTGACAGAATTTTCTGTTGCAATCAAGCTTCATCTACAGTAGAGTTCTGCAATTACCAAAACCCTTTTCCAACTGAAATAAATGAAAAGCTTTTAATCCTCAGTTCTGAAGTCTGATTCGTTAAAAGACACAAGGGGATAAATGATGCAATACAATAAGCTTCTTCACGGCAAAGCAATTCCCTGGATGTCTGAGGTAATTGGAAAATTCAAGGCTGGTCCCTAAAGTGTGTACAATTTATCCAGCAGGTTTGACAGAAGGCTGAGTTGTTTTTTTTTTTTTTTTCCAAGTGGTATTTGGGTAAATGACAACTATTGGCATTTGGGGGAAGGAAAGTCTGGCTTATAGAAACAGATACCAAGGAGATCCAAACTAAAAGTTGTACCAAATTATATCTTTTTTTTATTCAACAAAACATTGATTTAAGCCTCTACTATGTGCCAGGAACATGGGGACAATGTGGTCAGTAAGTGTCAAGTCTCTGCCTTCATGGAGCTGACAGTCAATATGAGAGAACAAACATTAAACAAACAGAATATGTATGTGAGACGGTGACGAAGCTGAGTGAGGGTGATGCGGAGCCCTAGGGTGGGGAGTTGCTATTTTACACAAGGTAGTTAGGGACCTCTCCCATAAGATGATGATTGACGCAGGAGCATGTGCGGGAGTTTGCGGAGCCCCAGGCAGGCAGGTTGGGCTGGAATGAGTGACTGGGGTGAGGGGGAGGAAATGAGAGAACAGGGAGCTGGGGTACAGGCTCTTACATGCGACGTAAACACTGGCTTTGTTCTGAGTATGATGGGAAGATGTTGGGTGTTGAGCGGCAGAGTGACATGATCTGAGGTGGACCTCTCTGACTCCTTAGGGGAGAACAGGCCACGGGGCGGGGAAGGGTGGGAGCAGGGAGACCATCTAGGAGGCAGGGGAGAAATCTTGGTGTCTTATACCGGGATAGTGGCCGTGGAGGTGGAAAGCAGTGCTCGGCAGATGTATTTTGAAGGGAAAGCCAAACGGACTCACCCATGGATTGGATGTGGTGCGTGAGAGGGGAGTCAAGCACGTTTGCCAGGCCATTGACTCTACCACCTTGAAGAATGGATTTGGACTTTCCTCTTAAAGAGGTGGAGCAGACTGCAGGAGAAGCAATTTGCTAGTGTAGGCAGGTGGGAAGCGAGAATGGGAAACTGAGAGTTCTGTTGTGGACATCTGAAATTTGAGGTGCCTGGAATGCCTCCAAGTGGAGGTGTTAAGCTGTTGGAATTTGGAGCGGGAGGTAACGTAGGAGTTTTCAGTGTCTAAACGGTATTTAGAGTCAAGAGAGGAGGAGATCATCTAGGGAGGGGGGAGGACAAAGAAATGCAAGAACGGATCCTTAGGGCTGTCCAACATGTAGGACCAGGGGAGATGAGAAGGGACTAGCAAAGATGAAGAGTCAGGAGAAGTCAGTGAGACAGAATGGAGAGTGATGCCATGCGAACCAAGCAAAGGGAATGTTCCAAGGAGGGAAAGTGATCAGCTGTGTTAAATGCGGTTGATGGAAACATCAGGAACTGATCATTGGGTTCCATAACGTGGACATTCCTGGGGACCTTGATGAGCAGTGGAGTGGTGAGGAAGAAAGGCTGATTGGGTTCCATCTAAGAGGATGCAAGGAGAAGTAGAGATAGCAATTATTTTTGAAGTTTTTTAAAGGGAAGCCGAAAATGGAGTGGTTGTCAGAGGGATGAAACATGTTATGGACTGAATTTTGTTCCCCCCAAATTCATAGACTGAAGCCCTAATCCCCAGTGTGAGACAGGGCTTTTAAGGACATAACTGAGGTCGGGCGCCTGGGTGGCTCAGTTGGTTAAGCGACTGCCTTCGGCTCAGGTCATGATCCTGGAGTCCCTGGATCGAGTCCCACATCGGGCTCCCTGCTCGGCGGGGAGTCTGCTTCTCCCTCTGACCCTCCCCCCTCTCATGTGCTCTCTCTCTCTCTCATTCTCGCTCTCTCTCAAATAAATAAATAAAATCTTTAAAAAAAAAAAGATAATTGAGGTCAAATGAGGTCAGAAGTGTGGGCCCTAACTCAGTAGGACCAGTGTCCTTGTAAGAGAGAGACCAGGGATGTGTCTGCACGGAGGCAAGGCCATGTGAGGACACAGGAGGGAGCAGCCACCTGGAAGCCAAGAGAGGGGCCTCAAGAGAAACCTTCACCTTGGACTTCCAGCCTCCAGAACTGAGAGAAATTTGTTGTTGGAGCCCCACAGTGTGTGGTATTTGGTCACGGCAGCGTGAGCAGACTAGTACAAAAATCAAAGGAAATCTGTTTTTTTTTTTTTTTTTTTTAAGAGGGGGGAATATTGTAGCATGTTCCTGAGGGAATTCCTGGAGCTATGTTCCTGGGTTGTGGAGATGCAACGCTGTCTAGCATACAAGTATAGAGGTTTGTTTTTTGTTTTGTTTTGAGATTTTATTTACTTGAGACGGTGAGTGAGAGAGCGAGAGAGAGAGAGCACAAGCAGAGGAGAAGCAGACTCCCCGCTGAGCAGGGAGCCCGATGCGGGGCTCGATCCCAGGACTCTGGGATCATGACCTGAGCCGAAGGCAGATGCTTAACTGACTGAGCCACCCAGGCGGCCCCCGAGGTTTGCTTTTGATAAGGATATAGGCAGATTTGTAGATGTGGTGAGAAGGTAGGAGAATTCTCTTCTGAATCCTTTTATTTTCTTGGTGAAATACAAAGCAAGGTCATAAGTGGGGAGGGAAAGCTGGGTGGAAAGTGGAGTTTGAGAAGAAAGTATGAAATAATTGTCTGGCAGAGCAGGGGAACCAACTGAAGAGAGAGATGTTGTCAGACAACTAAGCGATGCTACGAGCCCACTGACATTAGTGGTTGTAGATTTCAAGTGAGGCCAAGTTCTTGCGCTCTTGTTTTTCTCCAGGATCATCCGGTCGGGTTAGATGGAGAGATGGATCCAACTGGGGGTTTTTTCGAGAATGACAGGGAGACCACAAGCAAGAGAGTGATTACATTGATGGTCTGTAGAATCTTAAGCTGAGAGAGAATGAAGGAAAGCACATGGGGGGCGTGAGGGGAACCACGAGAAGGTGGGGGAATCACTGCATTGTGGGTTCCAGGAAGAGAGTCGGGTTATTATCATGGGTGCGCTGGAAAGACGGGAGCTTGTGGTCATGGGATGCTTGAAATGGAAAGGATGCAGAGGGTACAGTTGGAATCTAGCCAGCTCTAGGGGATGACTGACTGTATGGCTAAGGTAGGGGAAAAAAGGAGCAGAGAATTGGTCACGGAATTAAGAAGCCTACGTGGATACTGAATTACTCGGAGACCAAGAGGCATGGTTCTGCCGTGGCAGCAAGCTCAGGCCAAAATCTTCAAGGACTGAGGGTTCTGATGCAGGGCTGTGTAGATGGCTGAACCACGGAGGGGCAACAAGTTGTAGAAAGGCATGAGGCTCAAGGCTGGCCATTTTTTGAAAAAAGAGAGAGTTAATGGTCCGGAACAGGGTTTCTCAACAGCAGCACGGTGAGTATTTTGGACTGGGTGATTCCCTGTTGCAGAAGGCTGTCCTGAGCTGAGCAGCATTCCAGACTTCTACACAATAGATGTAGCACCAGCCTCCAGTTGTACAAGGAAAAATGTCTCTAAGACTTGACTAAATGTCCCTTGTGGGGAAAGACTGCTCCTGGCTGAGAAATGCCGATCCTAAAGCAGCAATGATGAGCTAACAGGACACCTACCTGACTTGGGGCCCAGCGGTTATAAGGAGTGAGGAAGAGCAAGTAGCTAACACTTTGAGAGGCTCGCAGAGCCATCACTGTCTTCTGGGAAGATCAGATTTGGGTTAGAGAGCACCGAAGGGAATCCTCCCAGAAAAGGGTGGGAATACAGTGAGTATCTTAGGATTTATGGCAATGATGTAGCTCACATCTATCAGCCCTAAGGAGGAAAGAAATGTATCCCATGATGACCCGACAGTCCGTGTTTTGTCTGCTTACTTCACTTCCTTTGCCTGACCCAATTCACTGCTCAAATGAGTCACCTGCTTCTTAATGGCCCTTGCAATGCAGATTTCAGTAATGATATCTAATACACACTGAAATCAATAGTCCCAGAAGAATACACCAACTATATACAGTGAAGCCCTTGGCAGGGATGAGGCACCAGGGCTGCGTGCTGCCTCTTCCCAGAGTTCCTTTCAGGCTCAAACAGCTAAGCAGGCACACTCTAGGACTCCAGAGCTTCTACTGAATTTTCTAGCTTTACAGACAGAAGTGAAGACTCCTCTCTAAGTAACAGAGGGTTGGGAGATGTGAGGAGGATGAAAGTATCTAGAGTGCCTGGCAAGAGTAGACCTGTAACAAATTTCTGAGGGACGCCTGGGTGGCTCAGTCGTTAAGCGCCTGCCTTCTGCTCGGGTCATGATCCCAGGGTCCTGGGATTGAGTCCCGCGTCGGGCTCCTTGCTCAGTGAGGAGCCTGCTTCTCCCTCTTGCTCTGCTGCTCCCCCTGCTTGTGCTCTCTCTCTCTCTGACAAATAAAAAAATAAAAATCTTTAAAAAAAAAAAAAAAAAAAATTTAAAAAAAAAAAAAAAAAAACAAATTTCTGAGGTGGTATTTCAACACTGTTCCCCTTTATTTACTTAGTACTTGTACGCCCTTGACCAAACAGTAATCTAGGCTGGCGAGTACGAGATGAACGTGGCCTAGGGGTCAAGCCGGGGACCTCCACCAAAACAACAAGATCCCATTATAATCCATTTAAAGTGTGCTAGCAAAAAGTAGATATGATGAAAAGCAGTTTTTAATTCTTTGAGGGAAACAGCAAACATGTGGCTCAGGGAGAAATAAACGAGTTACATATCCAAAAGTCAGGAACTGAACTCCCCCCATGATCCCTAAGTTCCAACAGCGTAGATCGCTCTGTTCCTGCCCAAGAGAAGGGAGCCTCAGTGTAGAATGAACCTTGCCAACCATCATGAAGAGAAACGTGGTCTCTGGTGCTCAACCGTCCGTACATACCATCAGTGAGTGACTCACAAGAAAGGACTGGAAATTGAGAGTATAAGATAAGGCACTTTGTTTTTAATTCTATCCGTTTCTTCTGAATTAATCAAGGTCTGGGGTCCTCTGGTAATTGGAAGTTGTACTGGCTGCAGCTAACGGGCTGGGCACGTACCCAGGAAGGCATCAGAGTGCCACGGTCCTGAGTAGACTCCTTGGTGCGTTCTGCCCACCTGTCCACGTGCATTCTGACTTCTCGGCAAACTTCCCACAGCATGAGCAGCGCGGGCGACCCGGGTGGCCTTTGTGTCCGTGGCCGCAGCGTAGGTACCCCCCTGTGTGGTACCAAGAGGAGACAGAAGACAAACATTAAGAGTGAAGTCCAGCAGTTTACCATGGAAACTAACGTTTCTGGCAACATTTAGACTCATGAATGTAAAAACATGTAATAAAAACCCGGCGAGAGAAACAAGCTATCTGGTGCCTCTGTAGGAGGAGGACTCCCCCAAGGACTGAAGACAGCAAATCAATGAAGATTAGCTGAAGTTCTAGGAAGAGTGTTGTTTTAACATTCTGCTAACTCAAGCACATGAACTGTTTTGGGTTTTAACTGAAAAATAACTGAAATAAAAGAGAAGGGTAGAGTGGCTGAAATAAAGAAGGTAGTTCCTAAAGTGTTTATGCAAAAGGGTGCATGGGCCTATCTTTTTTTTTTTTTAAAGATTTTATTTATTTGACAGAGAGATACAGCGAGAGAGGGAACACAAGCAGGGGGAGTGGGAGAGGGAGGCGCAGGCTTCCCGCGGAACAGGGAGCCCGATGCGGGGCTCGATCCCAGGACCCTGGGATCATGACCTGAGCCGAAGGCAGACGCTTAACGACTGAGCCACCCAGGTGCCCCATGCACGAGCCTATCTTAAGGCTCACCATCGGAGTAGGAACACAATAGAATACTTTTTAAAAAATAATTAGAGGGGCGCCTGGGTGGCTCAGTTGGTTAAGCGTCTGACTCTTGATCTCAGCTCAGGTCTTGATCTCAGGGTTGTGAGTTCAAACCCCACGTTGGGCTCTATGCTTGGAGCGGAGCCTACTTAAAAAAAAAAAAAAAAAAAAATTAGATCTCCTGCCTAAGTCGACCCTCCTTCCCCCAAAAAGAGCCAGACCTAGTCAACTGATTTAATCACCCACTTCCCCATCCCTGACTTGCTTGGAATTTCTTTAAGGTTTTAAAAGGAACAGCGTGCGTCTGGATTTTTTTTACACTGCCAGGCTGTTGGAAAGGGTACACATGGACATCGAGCGTCCGGGGGAAAAGCACAGGGCTCATAAGACTGGTGAACTGGATCAGAACTTTTAAGCTTACTATCTCACTTTTCAGAACAAAAAAGCTTTAAAGTGAAACTTTTAGAACTGTGGTGTACTGATATGCATGGATTATACTCCCAGAAAGAAAGCCACCTAAGTCTGAATCTCCTAAACCTAGTGGCTGTGCGGTAGCTGACCCCCATTGCTGGGAGACTTTCAAGTGTCCCCTCACCTGGCATGGTGCCCCCACAGTGAGCAGTCTTCTGGCCTCCGCTGGAGCAGAACGTGCAGCCCTGAAACACGCCCGGGTGTGGCCGATGCCTCTTCCTCACGGTCACGGTGAATGGTGAGCCCTTGAGTGTTCAGACCAAGAGCAAAGAACAGCACATTATGAGTGAACAGGGATGTACTGAGCATCAGTACATGTCAGTCACAGGGCCTGGCCCCGGAGAAACGAGGACAGCAGAGGGAAATGGACGAGGGGACAGTGACAGCTGGGTGCTCAGCTGTGCGGCGCCAGATACAAACGCGTGAGAGTCAAGGGATCTGTGCGGCCCCTCCAGCATGGAGCCCACCTGATACACGAATAAACCCAAGCTGTGTTTCGTGTCACTGGTGTCTCCATCTTCTCCGTTCCCGAAGAGTCTCGGGGCTCGTTAGCAGAGCGCCGCAACCACGGGGCGAGGCCGCCCCGTGATCCCTTCTCCAGTGTCTCAGTCACACACCTCCTTCTCTCACATACTGAGTCTCACCCCCTCCTCCCACCCCTCCAGCCCGGCTGTTCCTGTTTCCCCATCCACTTAGTCTCGGCCCGTGAGCATACAGGCAGAAAGGTGAAGAGCGTGTGGTTAATGATCCTCAAATTCGAAACTCTCCCACCTGCCCCTCTCCTCCCAGGACAACTTCCGTTCTCCACTTCCTGTCCTATGTTAGATAGTCAGTATCTAGTAAGTGTAGCTTGTGGGCCTGTCCCTGACTGAGAAGCACACAGTCGGCCGAAGCACAAAACCGAGAGTCTGGCACCTTAGAAGCCTTTCACGCGTTCGATCTCTCCTCCTTTCAAGAGTTTACGATCCATTTTAAAAACAACTCGGGAGTTCAAAGAAATGGGTTCAAGTTCTGGTTTTGCTCTACAGGGACTGTGTACCTCAGCACGTTTGTTTATCAGTCGAATTGCGCGACGATCCCTAGGCCCAAGCAGCCTGGAAGAAAGGCCTAAGAATGTATGCAGAGGGACACAGCCCACTCCGGCCAATGTAATTAGACAGGCAGTAAGTGGAGCTGAACAGGAGTCTTCCTTCCTGCACACATCCCAAGCCTGACACATCATGACACTATGGTACTTTATCATCCCTGTCAGTGTTGCTTTCTGGGTTGGGGAAAATCTGTGACTACTCGAGATTCCGTCGGACCTCCTGAGTATTGCCCGATTTAAAAAAAAAAATACCGAATCTCTAGACCAGAAAAGTGTTATCCTTGTCTGGGGGGGGGGGGTGATGCAGTAACCCTGGTAAGAGCTAAGCACATATGGAAACAGATGAAAGAGTTACGAGGGCAGATGATCAGGTAGATAGATGACTGGTCAGTTGAGGGGAGAGGGCATAACTCTCCCAAATTGTGTTCCAGTAAGTTCCAGTCCGTCTGGTCACAGTCTGAACAATCCCAAGCTAGAGGGTATTGCTTGAATGTGTATGCTTGTCCCCTGGCGGAATGCCCCCTGGGAAGAAGGTATCTTTCCCAACTTAAGAATTCTCCAAATGGGAGAATGATAAAATACAAGCCCAACAGCCAGGAGGAAGAACAGGCACAGAGTTACGGTCACCAGCAAAATGTGGCTTATTTCTCAAGTGAAGAGAAGGACGAAAGAGGATCCTATTCAATCCCTCCGTACAGCTGATCCCACGAGACATGTCTCCACATCCTGAGATGGTAGAAGCCAGAGGAAGCGGGGAGAAAGGCGGCCAGGGAGGACAGGCATAGGTCCTACTCACCTGCACATGCTGCTCTTTGACGCAGACCAACACAGTATAGACACCGGGCTCCTTGGGGGTGTAGGAGACGTGGTATGTCCCATCCTTGTTAGCTTGCACCAGCGCTCTGACCGGACTGAATGCAGATGGGGTGCAGAAAACCACTCACTCACGGGCCTGCTGGGGCCGCCCACCACTTGAGGTGTGAACCCTACACCATTCCACCCAACATTCACTTGAAATGTCCCCCAAGCAGGACGTCCTTCCATTGGTCTCGGAAATTAATTTTACAACAGAAGGGAAGCAACGTAAATGCTGATTTAATCTGGTGTACAGAGGGATTCCTTGAAAGAGCTCCTGTGTCCTCTCGGATGGGCTTGCTGTACCCTCTGCCTCTCCTTCCTCCTCTGATTTCAGAGACACATGAATATACTCCCAGCCCAGTGGAGTAGCGAAGTGGGGCTGAATTTTGAGAAGGGGCCCGTTCGGTCTAACATAGAGTATTTTTCAGAAAAGCTGAGGGGCGGAGCAGACCTTTGGGAGAGAGTGGAGTATTGGCATAAAACCCGCACAAGAAAACACATCTCCAGCTGGTCATACCACATTTTTTAATAGCAGCTGGGAGGCGGGGGGGTAGGATGTAACTACTCCAGGTACACCTCCCCAACTGCAAAGGGGCCTCAAGTGTCCAGTTTTGTCACTGCTTATTACCCTTGACACCTGGCTGTGTAATACACACCTGTCTTTCTTATCTTTAGAGATGACCGTGACTTGCACGCTGTCTCCTCCCCGGCCCATGCTCTCTCCTGCCGCATCCTTACACAGCAGGGTGAAAGAGGCTGTCTGTTTCTCCCGGGCCCGGTGGAGATCTGCGAAAGATAAAACACTCAGTCCTCACCTCAAAGGCCAGCCAGGGTGACTGCATCCCCAGATCAGACACCATCTTGCTGCTTCTCTTTAGAGCAAAAGGTCATGCTTCCTGTTTACAGTAATTGCCCTGCTCCCTATCTCTTCTCTTCCTGCTCTGGCCCCCAGAGCATACCTCCTGGGAGTCCCTCCTGGCGAGCCTGGCTGTCTCTCAGCCAGTTGCTGCTTTTGGATCACACAGGAGCCTGAACCTTAACTGCAGCCCTAAAGGGAGCTCTGAAAATACTCAGGATAGACCTACATATTCAGAGCAGAAAACCTCTAGACCCCATGAGGGAAGTTCATAAGCCCAAAGCTACCCTCTCTGAGATGCAGATCATGCTGGAATGGGCAGGGGGTACAGCTGATCAGACCAGACCCTTCAGCACTTGAGCCAAGCTGCTAGGGAAATATTCAGTAGGTGCAGCCTCTGGGCCAGCAGATGCAACGGGGCTTCTTAACTTGGGGCTCATGAACTACCATGTGGTCTCCAGAGAGGTTTACGAGGGATCAAAGAATCTCCAGAAGTGGGGTGCCCAAATTAGTGGATGTTCTTGGGGAGAGATCATTCTCAAGGGGATCTATGACCTCCAAAAGGCTAAGAATTCCCGTGCCAGAGGCAGGCTGCATCTACGGTACACTCTGCCCATCAGGACTGATCTCTGACATATCTATGTTTGAATAACTGCCTCCTTTAGGAATAGAAGGGCCAAAGGAAATTGTTTCTCCCCCTACCGAAGGAAATGCCTAATCTTTTAAATGTCAAGATGTGGCTTACAAAAACCAAGAAGGGCACAGAAGAAAGTACGCTCTAACCTTGTCTTCCTCACTCCTCTGAAACTCTCTTCGGAAATGATCCAAGCCCTCTGGGGCCCTGCCATGCTCCTCTACAGGCAGGCAGGATTTCACCCCGGCCTATCCTGGTATCGTCTTTGGGCACTGCCTCTGCTCTATCATCTGATAGAAACAGCATGCTCCTTTGAGATCCTTGCTAGTTACTACTTTGCTCAGCTGGAAAAGGGTCAAGCCTCACCCCTGTATGAGTACTAACTGTACCCTGGCCAGAATGAAACAGAAAAGAAAGGGCGAGGGACGGGGTCACTGTCCTTTAGATCAGTATGGCTCTCTCCCGCGGTAAACTGGTCGGTAGGAAACTCTTCCTAGCTGGATGAAGGCCCCAGCTAAAAAAGCCCCACCTCTTTAAACACCATGTCCCTGTCCACTGCCCTCTCAAGGCCAGCAGGAAATGCCTCCTACCTTCTCCTTGAAGGACACATTTGGCTGGATCGACCTCTTTGGTACTGATGGCCCCATAAACTTCATAGCCACGGCACCGGCCTGCTTTCTGCTGAGGAGAGAAGCATATCTTATCGTTTACTCCAGGATGGATACTATATTCGACTTTGTTCAGCTTTGTGAGCCGTTCTACTACCAACCCCTTGGTGATGAGGATCTCCAAGTCTGAGCCACTGGTCAGCAGGTGCTCTGTGAACTCCACACCAGTCCGCATGTCAGCTAGCAGCTGCTCTAGCTGGGCCTTCTGCAGCTGTAGGGAGTTTTCCTTCTGGACCCGTATGTCTGCCAGCTGCTTCAGCAGCTTGTCCCGGTGCTCAATGGCCTTGATGTAGCCCTCAGAGAATGTTCGCACGTCGGCGGCCACAGCCCCCACCTGCTCCTGGAGGGCACTGTTCATCCCTTTGACCTGTGCGAGGACTTCCTCCAGCGCCTCCACGTGGGGCTGGGTGCCTCTGAGGAGCTCCCGCACTGAGTCCCCATGCTTGTGGATAATATTGCTCGTGAAGTCACAGGGGTGCTCCCAGTGCTCCCCCACCACGCAGTCCTGGCACACGGGCCGGTCGCAGAGCTCACAGAACAGCCTCAGGTCCTCTGCAGGGTGCGCAGGACACAAAACGGGCTTCCCGATCCTGCTGCAGCCTTTTAAGTCTTTTAGGTCCACCATCGTATGGTAAGTTGTCTTCTTCTGCCGCCTGGGGACAGAGTCAGGGACAGGAAATTAGGGGACGATTCGGTTGGGAAACAATCTGGCAGTTTTCAGTGCATGGCTCGGCTGAAGTCAAGAAGATCTGAGTTCAGTCCCTTGCTCTGACCTCTTAACTATGCGATCCTCTCGGATTCCAGTTCCTCCTCATCTGTATGGGGAGGGAATAACACCTACTTGAAAAAGCTACTACCTTGAATAAAATGATAGTAGACTACGGCTCTCGGGCCTGGGACGGGACTTTGCCAAAGGCTGCAACACTAAGGCTACGGCCTGGAACTTTCTCTGAGGCGTTAGTTTGGCAAGTTGAGACAAGAGGCACGGCCTACTCCTTCAGCAAGCTAGAGGTGAGAGCATGGTGGGAATCTGGCACCAAGAGACAGAAACTGTGCCGCGTGGCACAGCGATAAACCCCCGGCAATTAAAAAGTGTCCAGCTGGCCCCGACAGAGTCTCCCTCCACTTTCACTTGAGATTTTGGTAAAGCATTTCCTTTGACCAGAGATTGCATTACCCAAAGCAGCAAGCTAGAATTTTCCCCAAGAGTCATCGGCATTAGAAAGACTGAAATCAATGGTCAGTAGGATCACAGCTCTCTGTTAATTCCCCTTTTCTGTAGCCCTCTAGAGATTCAGGGGAATCCCTAGGAAACCCAGTGACTGTTGAGAGATCCCCCGGTAGCAGGAGACCACCTCAGAGCTCGCATGCCTATTCCGGCACCAGAAGAGGGGCTGTAGAAAAAAACAGGGTCAGCTGTTTAGCTGGCAGCAAAGGTAGTCATAACTAGAAGTTAAAAATAGGAAGACTGAAGACTAACTTGTTCTGTTGGTGAGACCAGAAACCAAATGGAGGGCAGAATTTAAAAACTATTTTAAGCTAAATCCAAAATCTTGGCTATTTTAAATTCGGATGTCCTGGAATGGGGGAGGGGGTGGAGAAGGGACAAAGTGATTCATGTGACCGGCTATTCACCAAATGCCAAAAAAGACGTAAATCTGCACCCCAACGAGCACCTATCGGCCCACATCACCAAGCTCCAGAGTCACTCTAGGGTACAAGGTCAAGGCTGCGGTGGGGCCCCGCCAAATAGCACCTTATATTGGGAAGGCAGCATGGATTACCAGAAAAGAGCACAGAATGCAGTCAGAAGACCTGGATTTAAAACTAGGTTCTGAGGGCGCCTGGGTGGCTCGGTCGTTAAGCGTCTGCCTTCGGCTCAGGTCATGGTCCCAGGGTCCTGGGATCGAGCCCCGCATAGGGCTCCCTGCTCGGTCCCCCTGCTTGTGTTCCCTCTCTCGCTGTGTCTCTGTCAAATAAATAAATAAAAACAAAACAAAAAAACCTGGGTTCTGTTATACACTACTTACCAGCTGTGGAACCTTGTCAAATCGCATTTTGCTGAGCTTCAGTTTCCTCAAATAATAAACGGGAGTGAAAACAGTGCTTGCTTTTCTATAAAAGCTGCAAGGCATCAAATGCGATCAAGGCCAGGGGCGATGCTATTATATTCATTCTTCTCTGTTTATCCAGCACCCACTACAATTATTCACCATACAAAGGATTGATGATCCAAGGAAACTGTGAGTGTGCTTTGCAAACTGAAAAGGGCTACACAAACCTCTGCTTCTATTATTACTAGGGGTATTATGTAAGGCTGCAGGAGTTAACTACCACTCTGAAGTATTTATCACAGCGTATACCCCTTTGGCCTTACAGGGCATTTGAGAGAGCTTTCCTTCCCATTTGCTCACCCAGGGATTTCTGGCTTGACACCTCTTTGTATTCTGCTCTTAAGCTGCAAGGAGGGGAGTGGGGGGGGGGTCCCGACTTTACCTATGCGCCTGGCAGCAGAAGTGACAGAGATTGGCTTTGCAGGTCTGACATCTCTTCTCCACTTCTCTGTTGCTGCACAGGTCACACACCAGGCCCTGGCCTTCCCCTTGAAGAGTCTCCAGCATCACATCATTCATGGCCAGGGGGTCTATGGTTAAAGCCTTCACTCCACCCATGGGCAGGTCCACCTGAGCATCACATTCGGGACAGAGGATGCTGATCTGCAGCTGCAGACTGGGAGGCTTGAGCTCCTGGAATATTGGCCCCTCAGAGCTTGTGTCAGCGTCTCCCCCTCTGATGGCCACTACTGAGAAGGGTTCCAGCTGCTCCAGACACGTGGTACAAACTGTGTGCAAACAAGGCAAGAGCCTGGGGGCTTTGAAAAGCCCCATGCACCAAGGGCAGTGAGTCTTGCCTGAGTTCCCAAGCGCAGTCCCACTGGGGAGTTTGCCCACGAAACCCAGCAGCGGCTTCTTCTTTTCGGACATATTCCCCACGTTTGTGCCCAGTATCACAAAAGGCGGCGGGCAGCTCTATAATGAAGTAGTAGGTGATTAAGCCCACCCAAAGAAAAAGTTTGCAGAATTTGAGCAGAGACCATGGGGACTCTCTTCGGCAATTCCAAGGTTAAAATGGTAGAAGAGGAATCGTCAAAGGAACCACCCACAGATCTACTTAGGAGGGCCCCCTCCCTTCCATGGCATCCCATACCAGACGCGCCCACGCCCTCCTGTGCCCCCCAAGTCCTCCTCCCCGGAGGCGCTGCCAGCTCTAAGTCTTGAGGGGTCCTGCCGCCGCCAACTCCCGGACCCCTGCACCTCTCACTCCTTCCACTACCACCCGCCTCCCGCCCCACTGGCCCCGGCCCGACACGCGACAAGCGCCACCCCCGCCCCCGCGTGATGAGGTGGTGGGGGGCCTCCCGCTCCTTCCCCCGACCCGGCCCTGAGCGGACGGCACACGGCCGGCCAAGGAGCTCTGCGTCCCGCCGGCTCCTGCAAGGCCACCGCCTCCCCAACCCCACGGCCCACAAGGCGCTGGCCCCTCCTCGCCCCAATCCCAGTCCGAGTCTACTCAGGGGAGTCCAATCACCGTCCGAGAAGGGCGGCCCTCGCCGCTGGGGGGCCCGCCTCCCACCAGAGTGACACCACCAGCATCCAATCGCCAGTTCACTCCGACGGGGGGGGGAGGGACCAAGCTAACGGCGGGGGGCCGGGGGGGTAGTCGGGTGGCCGGAGGGCTTGGGCCGAGGGGAGGAAAAGAGCGAGGCTGGGAGTGAGCGGCATAGTATAGCCGGCGTCACCCTTTTACGGTGTCTCTCTATCGCTGTAGCGACCAGAGAGGCCAGAGGACTCCTTAAAAAGCCGCGCTGATACGCCCCGGGGACGACCTCCTTTGGGCCCTCGGATTGGGCCCACGAACTCAGACTGGGCTTTCCCATTGGTGGGTGGCGCTGTCAGTGGGCCCCGAGCTCCGCGCACAGCTTGCTGGGAGTTGTAGGACGAGGCGTCTTCCTCGACCGAGAGGCTTCGGACGTGACAGCAGACGACGTTTCTGCTCGGCCGGTGGGAGCCCGCGAGTTCCCCTCTGGGCCTCCCCAGCTTATTTTAGTTCAGGAATCCGTCAGGCCTAGTCACGGGCTACGAGAGCTTCGTTTCCCGGGACTAAGGGCTCTGAGGCCCTGGTTCCGGGGACCCGTCTGGTGGACCGTTGAACCGAGGGCTGGCCGTTGGGGAGCTCGGCTCGCGGTTCGCCGGGGCTGGAGAAGCCCTTGTTTCCCTTCGGGGCCAGGGGCGCGGAAGACCTGAGGGCTTAAGGATTTGTCACGCAGAATTCTACAGTTCTGTGTACCAGAAACGGAGCACGTTTGTCCCGCCGTTTTGGTCATGGGGGAGGGCCCGTGACTGGTCACAGTGGGAGTGGAGGATGTCAAAGAGGGATGAACCCTTTGTGGGCTCACGAACTGCTCGGGAAGATGAACGCGTCAGGCAGCCTTGACAGTGTTTTTGTCTCCTTGTCCAAGTACCCTTGCCAGGAGTCTCCTGATTCGGCCCTGTGGGGGCTTTGCCACGCCTGGGATCTGGGACCGATAACTCCACAATTTCCAGAAATGGTAACACTCTAGCTCCTTACTTGGCGCGAGCCAAGCTGCTCATGCTGTTTGACAAAGTCCAAGTATGAGGGACAATCCTGAAAAATCAGGAGACTCCACAGCTGGCTCCTGCTACTTCCTTTCATTTTATTTGCGGCAATCTTTATAATCAATTCTGGGGTTTCATGATAAAATGATTTATAAATTCAGTTACGCCTATGCAAGCAATCATACTGAAACTGATTCCAAAAAGGCTGACGTTGGGCCAAGAAGTAAAAATACCCAATGTCCTCCAATCTGTAAGGGAGCTGTTGGATCCAGGCCCAGTAAAAATTCCGATCGATGAGATTCCTCAGGCACCTCTGAAACATTAGGATTCTAGGAAAGAAAAAAATCTCACGACATTCCCACAGTACAGGGACCTCCCTATGTTGTATACAAAATAGGAGGCCGCCTCTGGTATGCCCCTGGAGGCAAGCCCCTGGTGTAGGATTAACTTCCTTGTCCCTACTCCTCCCATTCCTTGTAATGGAGTTGATAATGAGAACATGAACAAATGGTATAAGATTAAAGGAAAAAAGGGTGCGGGCGTCATCTGACAGCCTCTGGGAAAGGATTAAGAGGAGTGATCCTCCGTGGTGTCTATGGAGCAAGGACAAGAGAAGAAAACATATAGAAATGGAATAAGTACTTTGATAAGATAGGGTGCACACATTGTAAGCTGCCTTTGGAGAAAGAATAAACTTTAGATAACCTTTATAGGTCACGCTTTGTCTTGCACGGTCACGCTGTTTTTTAAATCCGAAATGATTGCGATAAAATAAAAAATAAAATCACATGAAAGAATGGAAAAACAAGGAAACATTCAAATGAATAAAAAAAGTCCCTCCGAGGCTATCGGGAGGGAGATGCTTGCAACCTGATCCAGTGTCCGTGTCTCCTCACTGGCCGAGGCCGTCCTTTCCTTCAAGGACCCTCCGCCCGCTGGAGTTGGACTCCAGCACTTACTCTCCACTGTTCCTATGATTTCCGGTCGCTTAAGCCTGTCTCGTATGCCTGATTCTCTCACTGCTGGTTTTATCACCTTCCCTACTTGATTTGGACCCAACGAGCAGCTCTTTCATTGATGTCTTCATTACACATCTCATGCCATAGGCACGGTGCCTGGAGCCTAAGCTTACAAAAATAGGGAAATCTGAAACACCAAACAAAATAAAACTTGACCCTAAAATATGAAAACTATAAAAATTTTTAGAAATTGAAGTGTTTGGCCATTTCCAAGATATAACATGTTAATGAGTCAAATGCCACTTTTTTTAAATTTATTTTTAAGATTTATTTATTTAGGAGAGGGAGCGCGTGAGCATGCACGAGCAAAGCAGGGGGAGGGGCAGAGGGAAAGGGAGAGCGAAAACCCTCAAGCCGACTACACGCCAAGCACCGAGCCCAACGTGGGGCTCGATCCCAGGACCCCAAGGTCACGACCCCAGCCAAAGTCAAGAGTTGGCTGCCCAACTGACTGAGCCACCCAGGCATCCCCAAATGCCACTTTTATATAAAAATTACATGTGATTTCCAAAAATAAATATGCCTACAAGGTCTTAAAATAGCCCTTACCTAGATTTCTTCAGCTTCTCCTTCTTTTCCTCACCTTCTCTGACTCAGAATCTGCTTGTTACACTCTGGTGTGCTGGAGTAAGTCGCAAAAACTGTGCAGACTTGTGTTTGCTATATATTCTTGCTCTGAACTTCACCTGATGCTTGGTGATGCTTTGCTTCATTTCTTATTCATGTTCTATCACATTTCCCATGGTAGGTGTTCCAAGTTTCTCTTGTTTAAGAAGTGCTTTATACATTACATGTGCATTATTTCACTTAATCTTTTAACAACTCTATGAGGAAGACGGAGTCTCAGAGAGATCTGGTGGGCGGCCCAAGGTAACACATCTGAGACTTGAACTCCTGTCTTACGATGCCATGTTTAAGATTCCACCCTAACCTCCCTTTCCTTTCTTAGCTTTTTTTTTTTTTTTTAAAGAAAAAGAGACCGGGATGTAAGATACCTACCCAGAGTGTTATTAAGGGGCCTGCTAATCTTTTAACAACTCTATGAGGAAGACGGAGTCTCAGAGAGATCTGGTGGGCGGCCCAAGGTAACACATCTGAGACTTGAACTCCTGTCTTACCAACTGAGCCACCCAGGCGCCCTTCCTTTCTTAGCTTCTTAAGCATCTAATCACTTATATACTCAGCAGGTAACTGCCTTTAATTGAGTGAGAAAAGCAAGGCTATCTGGAGAACTCCCTCACTTTCTACTTAAAAATCTCTGGTTTATCAGGTGCCTGGGTGGCTCAGTGGGTTAAGCATCTGACTCTTGATTTTGGCTCAGGTCATGATCTCAGGGTTGTGAGATCAAGTCTGGCTGCCGGGGATCTCCCTCTGCCCCTGCCCTTCTACGCCCCCCCCCCCCCCCCCCAATCTATGGTTTGTCCCACCTCCTCTCATACCCATCCGGACTGCCTTCCTTCTATTCCTCAACACCTTTGCTCTTTATTCCAACCTCTCCTGGCTCTTCAAAACCTTGCTGCTCCTACATTTTCAATCACTCCTTGACCAGCATGTTCTTTCTGTTAAGAGTTATGATCAAGTCCTAAAGAGGGAAGCGAATCCTCCCTTGACTGAGCTGGCTTTCCACTACTGACTTTTGTGACTCTCACCCCTACATTTCTCAAAAGAGTAGTCCCACTTTCTGTGTTCGTCACCATCATCACCCATTTTTTTCCTCCCTCACACAAACTAACTTCCAACTCTTCTTTCTGCTGAAGCTTTTCTCTTGTAGATTACCAGTGACCAAGTCACTGGCCTTTTCTCAATATACAGTCTGTTTAGTATTCACTATTGTTACCTACTTCCTCATCCTTCAGACTTGCTTCCTACTTGACTTCTGAAATGCTCTACTCTCCTGGCCTTCTGATCTCTTGGGCTGCATCTCACACTCTCCTTCCTCACTGGTTCCCCTCCATCCTCTTTATACCCTATTTTTCTCTCTACGTGTTCTCTTACACAGATGATTCCCAGATCCACACTTTCTGCCCTGAGCTTTGGTCACAACTCTCAATTCTAAATCTGCACCCACATGTGTCCCCATCATCTTTAGGCCCACCTACCTTAAACTTCACTGAACTTTTTTGCTCCCCAAACTGTGCTCTCTGAATTTTTCTATTTTATTCTCTCAAGGATATCATTATCCCCCCTTCTCTCCAGCTTGAAACCTAATAGTGCTCCTGGCTTCCTTTCTCTTTTTCCATATCCAGGCAGGTACCAATCTCTTTCCAGCCCCACTGCCAACATCTTACTGCAGAGAATTTTAGGATGTTATAGGACACTGACTTGTAG